ATTTTAGGAGATAGCGGAATTGACCGTTGACGTGTCCGCTGTCTAGGACTTTCTCGACTATCTATTCTTGGTTTTCGTCGGCGTTAGGGTTTTCCGGTATTATTTCTTCTGTCTGCTATACTGCGGTAGCGTTTTTAGGTGCCGATTCTAGCAGTACGATATAGAAGACTAGATGGATTTTTATTGTATCCGGTAGTTTAAGACGATAGTTAACTTTTCTAATTTGTTCCTTAATTTCGAACGGTCCCGTTTTCTTAAAGTCTAATTTGTTGTTGGGCCGTTTTATCCGGATATTTTTTCTAAGGAGGTAAACTTTATCCCCCTTCCTAAAGGTCGGTGCCTCCTGGTGCCGCCTATTATAGTATTTTAACATTAGAAATCTATTGTATTCTATATCGAGGCTTAACTGTCTGTGTAGTTCTTTTAGTTAGTCTGCCTTTAGGATTCCTTTCTGGGTAAGGGACTGGCTTAGCTGCGGCTCGTTATAAGCCGTTGGTTCGTATCTATAATTGGTATAGAACGGCGACTCCTAGGTGGTAGTTGCTTTAGCGCTGTTGTACGCGAATTAGGCAAGAGGTAAGAGTTCTATCTAGTTATCTTGTGCGTAATTGACGTAGCAGCGTAGGTACTATTCTAGGGTCTAGTTTATTCGTTCCGTTTATCCGTCTGTTTGCGGATGTGCCGTTGTGGATATCTTGTGTTTTAAACCAAGCTAACGGGTGAGAGTCTGCTAGAATCGGGATGTAAATAGTTTATCCCTATCTGATACTAGTTCTTCTAGTAACCCGTGGTTGCCGAGGATTGTCCTGAGGAACGTATAGGCGAGTTCTTCCGCGTTTGCCGTCTTAAGGTAAGGCAGATAGTACGCGTACTTAGTAAGCCTATCGACGATGACGAGTATCGAATCGTATTTTACCCTAGTAAGTAGCTCCTTCGAGGGTGGCAGGTCCGTAATAAAATCTAACGAGATTGATTGCTATAGCCGTTTAGGTGCCTTAAGCGGCTATAGTAGTCCGTGGGGAGCGTGTCTCGCGGCTTTGCTTCGGATGTAAAGATCGTACTACGAGATTACTCGTTGGACTGTTTTCCTAAGGCCTGGGAAGTAGAAGTGCCGGGTGATTCGTTCGATTGTCTTGTCGGTTCCTTAGTAACCGTGTGCTGGTAGCTTATGGATGTCTTTAACTAGACCTTCTCTAAGTATTCTTGGTACGTAGACTAATCCTAAGAATAGGATTGTTCCGTCTGTATCTTTACTAACCCTCGGGTCGTCTTTTATATCCCTAAGTTCTTATGCTATCGTATCGTAGCTGTATTCCTGTCGAATTTTCTCGAGCCAGGAATTATTTTCGAGCCTAATTGTCGGTGCTAATTGCCTGCTTAGAACGTATCTATCTGGTTCTATATCGAACTAGTATCGTTTCGTGCGGTATACCGGGGCGACTGCCCTTGTAGGTTCTAAGGAGCTATCTTCGTTTTGCTATAGTACCGCTAGCTGAATACCGGGCTTTCCTACGAGGTAATCGGCTCTCCTGCTTAACGCATCGGCTCTAGCGTTCTCTGATCCCTTTCTATAGGTGATCTTTATGTTATAGGACGCTAATTCTTCAGCCTACCTAACCTGTCTTCGGGTTAGTTCCTTGGTGGTGGTGAAGTGAGTCAGGTTCTTATAATCGTAATAGACTATAACCTGGTATTTTGCCCCTTTAAGGTAGTGTCTCTATTCTTTAAAAGCCGTAACAATAGCTAGGAGTTCCTTGTTATGGACATCGTAATTTAGCTCTAGCGGGGTTATCTTTCGTAAGTAATACGCGATAGGGTGGAGTTTTCCTTGTTCGTCTAGCTGACTAATATAAGCCCTAATAGCGTAATTAGAAGCGTCTGTTTCGATAACGATTGGTAGTTCCGGATTATAGATCCTAAGAACGGGAGCTTCATAAAACATCCGTTTTAGCGAATCGAAGGCGATTTGTTAAGCTTCTCCCTAGTTAAATCCGTGCTCTTTTCGTACGAGTCTCGTGAGGGGTTCTAAGACTTCGGCGTATTTCCAGATAAATTTCCGGTAAAAGTTAGCAAATCCAAGGAAGGACTACACTTCTTTAACGGTTCTGGGTACTAGCCAGTCTCGTATAGCATCTAGCTTTTTTTCGTCCATCTCCACGTATCCTGGTAAGATGATAAAGCCTAGAAATTCCGTCCTTTAGACGTGCCATTCGCACTTTTCTAGTGCGACTTGTAGGTCTTTACTTTACAGTACCTAGAATACTTTCCTAACGTGTTTTTTATACTCTTCCAGGGTTTCCGAATAGATGAGTATATCATCTAGGTAAGCCATGCAGAAGACGTCTAAATAGTCGCGTAACGTATCGTTAACCAGACTTTAAAACGTTCCTAGGGCGTTCGTAAGACCGAAAGGCATAACCGTGTACTCGTAATATCCTAGACGTGTCCTAAACGCGGTTTTCCATTCTTCCCCTTCCTTCATGCGTACTAAATAGTAGCCTTCTCGAAGGTCGAGTTTAGTGAAGTATTTTGCCGTCCGTAGCTTATCTTAAAGCTCGGTAATTAACGGCAATAGATACCGGTTTTTGATGGTGATATCGTTTAACTGACGATAATTAACGCAGAGGCGTAATTTACTATTCTTCTTTGGAACAAAGAGAATTGGGTATCCGGCTGGCGAGCTTGATGGCCTGATGTAGCCGCGTTCGAGGTTCTTGTCTAGGTAGTCCCTAGGGTTAGGTTAGGGTTAGGGTTAGGTTAGGGTTAGGGTTAGGGTTAGGGTTAGGGTTAGGGTTAGGGTTAGGGTTAGGGTTAGGGTTAGGGTTAGGGTTAGGGTTAGGGTTAGGGTTA